AAATGCAGTCAAACATAACATCGAAAGAAAGACAACGTAGGCTAAAGGGGAGAAACTAGTATCAAATGAAGGAAAAACACCCAAATGGTAGTTTTCTTTAGTTTCATCACGCCTCTGTCAGACAGTTAAGAAAAACTGTTAGAACAATTTGCAAACTGCACTGTAATCCTCTCTGAAAATAAGGAATAATCTTGCCCATCTTTAACCTTTCTCGTGGCCTATTAGTTTAATCTCCTCTATTCCGTGGTCTTGAACCCAATCTGTAATATATCTGATCGTAGCTAATGAGAGTGAGTGACTGGTGGGTTCCTGAATAAACTAATCTACTTGTATACTAATTTGTAGGAAATTTAAGGCAATATCTCACAAACAATTGATGATGATTTATTGATTATTATCTAGAGAAAATCAAAGTACTTGTCTTATTACTCTTACCCTAGTTACGGTGTATAGATAGGAAACATCTGTTTAAAATTGAATCTGTTTATAATTTAAATTAATACACAAATGTTCCTTTGATTCGTCAATTTAAAAGAACCAAATGCCAGTTTATATTGATCTAGAACACAACAGAAGAGATAGACTGCGGAAAGAGAGCAATTTTGGCGACTGAGTTCCAAGTAAGAAAGCTGCCATCTTAATTTTTACAGCAGTGGAAGGTTGGGGAGAGAAAGAAAATATTTTTACCAAGAGGGTGGGCGACGGTCAAAAAGAAGGAGAGGGGTGAAAGTTGGGCAATGAAACAACACGCCTCTCCAGGCCCTCTTCCCTTCAACGTCGACTCTGACTCCAAATTAAACATGGCCGGTTGAATAAACGATCTCAAGCTTCCTAAAGTTAACTTGCCCTAATAAGACACCTGCACTGCAGGCTACAGAAGAGATCGTCGGGAGAAATTTGGCTTGGCCTTAAACCTTGAAGCTAATGAGACTTTGGTTGGCTCGTCACAGTTTAATCATGAACATAAATTACGCCATAAAAACAAAACATGAAGGAGTATCAACGTTTGTAGGGGTCTTGGAACAAGGGGACTGGTGTATGTTATCACTTTTCAGAAGAGAATAGGCAAAACATCAAGATTTCTTGTCAGAAGGGGCAATTATTTGGGAAGCCAAAGGCCGAGAGGCAAATAATTGATCTGCGAAACAATGTCGGACACATTGTGATATTTTGCGGTAGCACAGATCGATATTGTTTCACCGTTTCATTATTATACGAGCCAGTAAAGCGTTTTATAATTATTTCTGGTGATCTCTTTGTAGCGTGAACACAACCACGCA